TCTCGGAAAATTTTGATATCCGAGAACCTGGATGAACCCAGAGCTATTGTCCTGGACCCCATGAATGGGTAGGTGTTAGCATTTGTGTATGTATCAGCAAGACGGAAGCTATCACTGAGGACGGTATGGTCAAATTGTCTGAATTGTTTTGGGGGGGGGGGGGGGCAGCAATCTTGAGAGAGTTAACGCTCTACAATTCAAAACGAACCTGTAGTTAAGTACTTTTTAGGCTCAGTACATTTCATTTTGACCAAAATAGAAACAAATCATTGTCCAAATTCTGACCAACTAAATGCTAATAAATAATTGCTAATGTGGACGAGACTTTGCTGCAGCATCCAGGCCGTGGTTCCACTTGTTTTTTCAATGCGACTTTTGTCATCCAATCATGCCAGGACGCATTAACCTAAGTCTGGACGCTCTGCGATCGGACCACACATTTAGTTTGCTTGTCAGTGAGGTGTCCGCAGCATGTGGATACAATCCAGACAATTTATCAAATGTAGGTCTCCATCGTCTTCCCCCACACACGGGAGTTCCTCTCCCGAGACTAGCAAAGGGAAGAGAGGAGAAAAAACAGGGTTTCCTGGGTTTTCTTGTTCAAAATAAGAGCTTTTAAATAATGAAATAACGTGGGACTTTTATTATGAAAAATTCAAAGGAAAATATTCATCACTGAATTAGTGGAGCTTTGTTAGCGGCTCTTCTTTAATAAAAACAAGTCTACTAATACTTCGGGGAGGAAGAGTAAGATGCAAAAATTACTTTTAAAATATATCTGATCACTACCCTATCTGACAGGCCACATCGAAGTGTGGAGACACACCTGCAGACACAGCTGAGTCCCAAGTTGTGTTGAAAAGACAAACGTAACCGCGACCTTAGATGTTCACGTTGGGAAATAAATGACAGACCAAAAAAATATTAAGAATTCCAAAATTTGATACATTTTAGAGACCGGCTATAGCCCGGCATAATGCCTGGCCTTATCAAGCAACAACAACATGTTCAATCTCATGCATCAAAAAACTACAGGACATGACACAAAGTTTAGAACAATCCAGAAATAAAGAGTGTATTAAACTCTACTGGTATCAAGGCTCGTCCTCTTTAGAAAGCTGTTGGTGGAAATGCACATCATCTGCATAAGAATATTCCTAAACTGAAATGTATAAACTCCATCTAATCTACATGGGAAATGTTTCAAATGTATGATTGAATGACTGCAAGTAAGCTCCATTTGTCTCATCGCCTCGGCCTCTTTCAGCTACATGTACTGGACCGACTGGGGCGAGCATCCCAAGATCGAGCGGGCCCACCTGGATGGAACGGAGCGGTTGGTTCTGCTCAACAGCTCTCTGGGCTGGCCCAATGGACTGGCGATCGATTACGCGGAAGGAAAGCTATACTGGGGGGACGCCAAGACCGACAAGATAGAGGTACGTCCACCGGAGGTCCATACAATGTCTATGTATGGTTTCACCAGCTCCCTCTCAGCCGGGAGACCGCTGAAAGAGCGAAAGGAAACGTGAGAAATCAGAGGTGGCATGAGGATAAATTGGATGTGTGTGCATGCATGTGTGTTTTAATGGTGACCCAATGGAATGTGGAGTTATGCAATAGCTGGACACCATTGTGTAAGATTGTTGTCATCTAGCCCGGTCTCTACTGGTCCGTTGTGATCCGGCCTGTCTGGTCCGGTTTGGTATGGTCTGTTCGGGTCTAGTCTGACCTATCATACATTTCGCGACAGATACACTTTACATCCTGCAAAGTGTCAAGTCGCTGAATATTGAACTTTTGAATCCTGAATGATCGCTTCCAACTTGGTGAGACGAAACAAAGAAGATGAGTTAGGGGCTACAATAGAAAAATCAAATAATGATCTTTTAAATAACACTTGACCCTTTGGACTGACAAGAAATCCCTGAAGGGGATACCATCAACGATGGATGGCTGACTTATGACAATGTCTAAACGGTGATATTCTGGCTGTGTGGCATTATTTCGATAAGTAACGCTATTTCTATGACTCCTGCCTGGCGAGTGACTAAGGAACAGCATGTTCAGAAATGACTGCATGCTACCAGCTGTCATCTTGTCACTTAGTCGGTCAAGCAGGTCAATGTGCTATGTTCCATGTGTTGAAAACACATGGAAATTGAGAAGAAAAAATAAAATGTCCTGGAAATATGATTTTACAATTATTTTACCGTTCTCCTATTTTCCGTTAGCTGATTATGAACTACAAGGCTATCTATCAGAGCTTGATCATGTTCAGGATCATAATAACATTCAAATGTTAGTTTATGTAGTATTTTGGTTATGTTGTGGAACACATCACATGGTAGCAGGTGACTTAAATTAGCGTTACTTTCTTGCGAAGTGGTGGAATAATGTAAAATTGGTTAGCACGTTTGGTTCAGTCGCTAAAGTTGACAAGCTTGTTTTGCCAGCAAAAGGTTGAAGGTTTGCGATTCATCTTTAGCTAGGAGCAATGATTTCAAATGTGTGTCGAGAGATTTGGATAATAACTACCTGGAAATCGGGTCAAACAATGAATGGGAGCACAAAACACCGGCTAATGGGACTTTTTCACTTTGCTAGCATTGCCTCTTCAATCGTGATGCTGCATTATTATGGTAAAATGGACCATGACATTAAATGTTTAAACTTTGTAGCGGCAGCTCACAGTGGGTGTGAATAGTCTTCTTAAACACACTTCTTAATATTAGCTTACTACTAAATGGCTAAAGTATGGTGACACAGACCGATAAGAGACAGTAACCGTTAATAATTAGAACAAACTTTTCTCTAAATCCTGTACATTTAGGTATTTAAAGTCTGGGTTTGTCAAAATTGTAGGCTAATATTTGTGTTACTGTTGCTCAGGCAGAAATGATCAATATAACTCATAAGAACAAAGAGATGAATTAGTGCATGGGGCCTGGAAAACCATCTGTAGAATAGAGCTGGAAACCTGTCCATGAGGCTAGGACTTAAGAACTTAACTGTGACCAGGACCAGACTGTGGAAATGTGATGTTTTCACATTGCGGAATGATCAAAGGCATTAACACGTAGCGTGGGTCTGATAGGAGAGTGGGACAACTGAACCGACTAACAGGAGAGTGATTTATATTTCTTATATGTGTACGTGAGGGGCATTGAAGAAAAGATGACTTGGTCAGCTTGAAAATAGAGTACCTACATATTTTGGACTCTGTAGATATTTGGCTACATTTTGTTACTCAGCTGAGGAAGCAGCAACAGTGGAGGTGTCCACACCCAAGAGGCCGGGCTTGGTTGTTGTTCTGGCTGCCCTTCCCCCCCTCTCCCCGACTTCTCTAGTTCCTTTAAAGTAGGTGTCCTTCTTATTCCTTATTCATTCTGTCGATATCACAAACTGTCTCTTGTTTTGGACATTACAAAAAACAGAAATCAGTCTCCTGCTCTTTTCTTCTCTCTGTTTTTGTGGTTTTTATTTTTTTCAACTTTCAGCTTGTTACTACTCTGATCAGTTTTCCATTCTCTTTCCATTTCTGTCTCCTCAGCGTTTGTATCCGATTTTTGTCTGTTCAGCGTTGTCGTCGCTGCGATTTGGTGGTTGTTGTGGCGCCCGCAGAATTGGACAAGTTTAACATATTTTCATAGCGGCGGAGAGGAGAAGGGTGAACGCCAGTGCAAAATAGTGAATGCCTGAGCTTTCTGGCTGAATGCTCACCAATTGAAAAGGGCTGCTCTCTCTCTCTCTCTCCTCCCTCTCTCTCTCTCTTTGTGTGTGTGTGTGTGTGTGTGTGTGTGTGTGTGTGTGTGTGTGTGTCAGGGTAAAAGGACCCACCTCAAAGGGCTTTTTTTCACGTTTCAGCCTTGTTTTTATCCTGTTGAAAAGAAATTGCTGGGTGTGAAGACATTTCTATTGTATGTCTGCCTGCGTCTCTCTATCTGTGTGTGTGTGTGTGTGTGTGTGTGTGTGTGTGTGTGTAGTCTGACTTTGTTCAGTGTTTGTTGTGACACACGTATGATGGCTCAGGATGCCCACCTTAAGATTTTTAGCCGTGCTGAATTTGCATCTCAATCACATACTGTACATTCACTGGAAGTTGACGGTAACGTCTTTGTTGTTTTGTCCATTCTTTTGTTTATTAAATGAATTGCTGAGATCCTTAATCACAGTGACATTGTCGAGGTGGGAATAAGGACCACGAGCATTCAGAAGATTGCATTTGATTTGGTTCTAATTTCATTAGTGTTTCTGGCTGAATTCTAAATAAATGGCTGACAAAACTCCCCGACACTGTCTGGAGTGACACGATCAACGAGGCTACTTGTGTCATCTTTGCTGTGCATGGGACTCGTTCAGGTTGCAGGTTTGTGGCTCTTGTGGCTCCTGCATTGGGTTCCAAACTTGTCATATCAGGGCCAGGACAAGACCTGTTATTTGTGCGCATTATGTCGCAGTGAATCTACGACACTGTCTAGATTCGACAACCTAAATAAGGAGGCAGCTGGGTGGACAGCAATGACTTGCTCTTGGCAACAGCAATGATGAAACAGAGTTGGGTATATTAACAGCTAAAAGAATAAAATGTCACACAGACACCTGAAATGTTTAAAAGAAAATTACTACAAATAATTGATTAATTGTTTGAAAGAAAAAGAAACGGTGACTCTTTTACCATTTAATCAAAGGTGCTTTTGATGGTTCTCAAATGTGACTTTTCGTTGTTTCTTTTCTTGGTCTTGCATTATAGTCAATTGAACATGTTTGGGTCACCTGATAGTATGAATATCTGTAAGATGTCATATTATTTACTGTATGAGTGGCGTGTGCAAAGCAGCTGAAAACTGAACAGCGCCCAGCTTTTTACCTTTTGAGAGAAAGAAGAGAGAGAATGATAAATGACTGAGCCAGACCGAAGACTTTGTCCAAGAACACTGGAGGAATGCTCTTTCCCCCCCTGGCCCCTCCCCCCCCCCCCCCCCCCCCGTTGGAAAAAAACCCCCGCAAAAAACACCCCCCCCCCCCCCCAGCCACCCCTTTCTAAAAAGGAGCCTGTGTGTGTGTGTGTGTGTGTGTGTGTGTGTGCGTGCATGAATGTGTTTGAGAGTGTTAGCCGCTTTGACTGATGTGTTGCTTTCGCTGCACACACACACAAAAAACGGCTGCTTTGTTGTGATTATGCAGATTGACTGTGTGTAGCGCCATTCAATCACACTGCTGAACCATATGGTAACTCTGTGTGTGTGTGTGTGTGTGTGTGTGTGTGTGTGTGTGTGTGTGTGTGTGTGTGTGTGTGAGAGAGGTGGAGCTCAGGGAGGTGTATATGGTGGAATTTCCCCTGCTTAAGGCCCTGCACCTTGATTCAATAGCTAGTCTGTGAGCCTGTGTCTTGTTTCTGTAACCGTCCAGCTCAATGTCTCTACAACACCAACTTAGACATACCAACCAGTTACATTTACTCATGTACGGTATTTAAATATCATTTTGAGGCACTTGTATTTTACTTAAGTGTTTCCATTTTATGGTATTTTTACTTTCAGAGGGGAATATAATACTTTTTATACTATATTTATCTGACAGTTATTTTTGTAAATACAAGAGTAAAATGCACCTCCACATGAATGCAATCAATTAATAAACTTTCTATATTGTTATTTTTCTGTTAATAAGATTTAGAATGCAGGACTTTAATTTGGTGGCCCCAGAGCTCAATGCACGGCAACTAGAGAAAACAGATATGAGGTGACAAAACACAATCAAATGAAGAAAATATTTAAAAATACATATGCACCATAACCAAACACACTGCGGATATAGAAAACACAACCCAATACAGAACCGTGCTGTAAATTTAGACAACATGAACATACTGTAAATTCAAGCAACATAAAACATACTGTTTCTTTTATAACTGTTAAGATAATTATGGACAATCTACCTTTATATATTGGTACTTAATTTAATTAGTTATATGCCGCATTCTATTTCCATAGAAACCGTGCTCACAAAATAATCTGATTTAATCAGAACATCTTAACAAAGGAGACCTGACAACATATTTAATCAAAGTTATTACGAGCATTTCTGCACTGTAACTAGTATGACAATTTAAAACTTCAGGTCTTCACAGCACATCTAGGTGCTGTAACTGACTGGTATTAAAGAGTTCTGACAGCAGAGAATGATGCTCTAAGGAGCTCCAACAGGACAACGAGATCCTGCACCGCGAGTACCAGACATTGGTCCAACAACCAGAAAAAGAAAAACAAGGCAGACAGGGAGGCCATGAGTCAACAAATAGTAGCTCTTAAAGATCGGATTCAGGGGCTCAACTCAAAGCTTCAAGATGGAAATGCATTTAATGAAAAATTGAATGTACTGATGGAAGAAAAAGAAGCCATGAGCCGACAAATTCCCTCCCAGGAGCAAAACACTC